TTTTTCAAGCTTTTCACAGCCTGTGCAATTTCATCTACAGAGATTGTAATATCCGTACCCTTCTGCTCTACCGGCGAGTCTTCCTGTTGTTGCGCGGGGTTAAAGAGTTCCTCAAGGTACTCCCTCTATCGCCGAAAAATGTCATCATCCTGGGTATGAGGGTGTCCAGATCTGTCCTTCAAGACTCCGAGACTGCCCGTCCTTTCACCTCGGAGTCGACGGATGGTCTGCCAGAATGCTCTGTTTGCCGTGTGGAAATTGGACTCCAACATCTTACCGAACTTCTCCCAGGAATCACCTTTGGCTTTTGTTACTGCTTTGGCTGCTGCCTTGAGTGCCTCCACATATCGCACGCGTGTAGATGGCTCCTTGTTTCCAAGCAATTTCTCGAACGCTGCCTTCTTCTCTTTAACTGCCATTTGTACCTCTCTTGTCCACCAAGAAGATCTTTTCTGACCTCCAGGCGGCAGGCCAACCCGTTTACATCCGCAGCATTAGGCGGTAGCCTCGAGTAGGCCTCTCTTAAACAGCTGCCACTCTGTTTCACTATGAGTTGTCATCACTGGGATCTGTTGAAACCGTGGTGCGAAGTTGTTTTGAAACTTCGCCCTTGTGTCCACAGAAGATAATGTTTCCCATTTGATTCTCCGGTTGCTTCTGTCACCAGATCGTCGTATGGTACTTCATTTCTTGCAGCGCAGCGTGTCTACAGCAAGGTGATGATCGATTGATAGCTCTACGCCTCTCTTAACACGAACATCGATTACTGAGCGTGTTAGGTACGATATCAAATCGATCAACGACTTCTGTGCACAAGCTTCCCGGTACCAGGTGTACTGATGCACTTTTCGATGCTCCAAGGTGTTCATGATGGAGAATCCGTCGTTTACCCACAACCGGAACATCTTCATCCATTATTGTTGAGGTCTCTAGGGCCGTTTTTCCCAACCACGCAATTCTACTTTTTTGCGTCTACTCCAAAGTGCGTATTAAAATCGCCCATCTGTATGAGGGACTCTGTATTCGGCACTTCGGACAGAGCACACTGCACTTCCTCAAGGAAGGTCTCTTATTCTCTCTCCAAGGTCATCGATTTAACCTGTTGTAGCTGCAGTCGGAGGATTACCACCGTTCCTCTGATAGGCTTCAATCGATTATTCTATCGGCAAGGTTGGGTTCTACCAGAACGCCAACAGCGGCCGGAGCACGAGTCGTGATATCGACGCCTGAGTAGAACAGCTTCCATCCATTGAGGTTCAGGAGTGTAGAGCCTGGGCGTTTTGTTGACGAGAGTCCAACATTGTCGAGTTGTTACTTCGTGGCCTCATCAACTAATTCATATTCTTTTCCTCTGAGTGATGATATGTTCCTATTTCCGACTTTAAGCTCCCACTGGTGGTGTCGTTCTCGAGCCTTTTCTGACGTGCTGTAATGGCATCGCAGTGTCTGCCTCCTCCGTTCAGAACGGGTAGCGTCTCCGTTGCTGACTGGTATCTTCGTCGTCATTGCGTCGATCTTCGTCAGTCGTCTTTGTGCTGCTACGCCCCTGGCTGGCAGAGGGCAATGAGCAGGTTCTGATGACCGACTTTTCGCATTCTGCCTCAGTCCCCCAACATCCTGCGCGGCCCTTGGTAACCTGGGCGACGACCGAGCCGGTATAATTTTCGATGGCGTCAGTACCTTGAGTTACAGGTGCCTGAATTTTATAGGCACTTGTGACGGTCTTCAGCCCTCCTCCTTCCTCATGCGTCCTTGGGACGGTCATCGGTGGACTTTAGGTTTTGTGAATTGAATAAATAAACCCTAAATAATTCATTCTTTAATGAGGAAAACTTTGAATGACGTTAAGAGATGTTTGAGCCAGAAGTTTTCAGGGGATCTTGGTTGTCAGTTGAAATTCGAGCATGCAGATTCTCCACTGAACTTTGACAAGTGATCATCATCCTTTTTTGATCCACTGCTGCATGATAGTTCCTCTAATACTTTTCCATTAACTTCTGTATTATGTAATCCTTATCCATTTCGATCTATCGAACATTTTAAATTCGTTCTGCCGTCGATCGGCAGGTCAGTTCGTTTACTCTGTCTTGTAACCCGGTGTAATATCACACATTTTTTCTTGCTGAGTTGAGTTGTCTGCAGTTTATGAACAGCTATTAGGTTTAGGGACTGCGTTTCAAGCATGAGACTAGTTTCCTGGAAAGTAACATTTTCAGTCTTCCTGTTGATTACGTAGACTCGATTCTCCATTGGACAGATGGACTTTTTCTAATAGACGTGGTTTCGTATTTCTTCAAGCCAAATTCTGTCGACTTCGTCCGGTCGTTGGTTCGCGTATTTGTTAAATATGACCTGAGTTTTCTTTAGATTGATTTTCAGTTCGATGCTGATGTCGTTAGACTCTTCGATTCTTCTTTTGAGTTTTTTAGTGATCTTGTGAGAATCAGAATATCGTTCAAACAGCTGGTGGCTATGGTAGTGCCATTTTATTTTCGTTTCGCGGTTTTCTCAACCAGGCGACTTGGAAACCCCTTCTAGGGTTGCGAATAACTTCACTAATACTGCGTCACCCTATCGAGCTCCCTCCGATTTTTGACTCGCTTCTGCCTTCGTACCGCTTCACTGTAACAGTAGTATTCTTGTAAGTCATGGCGATAAGATTTCATTGGCAAAATGCTTTATATTTATTATCGAAATAATTTCATTCTGATTCCGTGAGTGCGTGACAGTTGCTGAATCCGGAACAAGATTTGCATTAATCTAAATAGCGAACTGCTGTGTAATAAACCATCAGCGGGATAGGTCAGACATGATACAGTAAATCTCCCTCACTTCTCCTTCTTCGGTTGATAAGGCTTTTTTGTGACGGGTTCGTTTTTTTTGTTAAGTAGAGATGGATATTTTGGTACATGTTGAAATTTTATAACTTAAAAGGCCGAAAAAGCGAACGACTTTAGCAGCGGATAGATAAGGGAATAACGTGATTGATTTACGACTTAATAGGATACGTTAAGGTGAGGGAATTGCTTTGGCTTCCTCTTGTTTATAGTCTTTCTACGTTATGTTAGATGTGATTTGTAGTGGGCAGATGTTCGATTCAGTTGATGTCTCTTGTCCGTCTTTAGCCACCTTCAAGTGTAGTATCATAAATTTTGACTATAAGCAAAAGCATAATACTGGGATCTTACTCCTGAATTTCATAATAAGCACTTCACTTGGTCTAGCCGGGTTTTACGGCGTGTTGCACGTCCTTTTGGTTTTTTGAAATCTGATTTTGGAGGACCCATGTGTTTATTAACGTACTCTGAAGTATGAATTCAGAATCCAGCATAATTGACTTTTATCCCGAAATAAGCTTCTAATTTACTCCTACTTTCCGACTTCAGACAGAAATGATCTACAGGCGTTTCATAAATGTATTTAACATTGCATTAATAGTTAATCATTACTGCAGCATTAATTACCGTTTGTGAAATCCCCTCTGATAGCGTCTGTGTCTGACGCCGAAAAGTCGAAGTAAAGTAACAGGTTTTGTGCTGTAAGTCACTGTTTTGTTGAAGACGTTTACGGATAATAAATTTTCGTTGCTATGAACTCATATTTTATAATAGCATTTACTGCTGAATGCACAGAAAGGAGTCGGCTCCTGCTTGTCATTGATGACCCTATAGGTTTGGCCAAGAAAATAAGGCGAGTACATTCTTGCTTTACAGGTGCTCAAATGCCATAGAGCAGTGGCTTGCTGAATTGGTCCTCTATGCGTCTAGAGTTTGGAGGTCCTGCAGTATGCAATAAAATCCGGTTTAGAGGATTCAAGGGCCTATTAACGTACTGCCTTCTTACAGACCTGTTTTTGATATCGTTAATTTATATTTAATGTATGCTATGACTTTTATCTATGCTCTGAGGCGAGTTACGTTTGATATTTTTCAGACAGTAAGCTTTCAAAATGAACTCTGATTCACTTTCACTGTGTGTCATGGGAGTCGCACTGATGATGCTTGAAAATGACCGCCAAGGCAGAGTGCGAATTAAGAGTTTATCCAGTCATTATCTAGCCTGAAGACCTGTTGTGGTGCTCGAAACGGTTCATCGGCTTGTGAAACAGTTGTAAACAAAGGCGGCCATTTTCCTTCATGCCTTCAAGGCGAATCTGTTAGAGCAAAATATCTTCGTACTAGCCAGCGGATATAAAAAATGATAAGGAGGGAGCAATATCGCGGCCTTCGTTTATATGTTCGAGGAGTTCATAACGAAGCATCATGGTGTCCATCTTCTGTACACATAATGATGCTTTCACTGGACTTCGTGCAGCTATACGTCCGTGTGCTCCCCTGTTTCCGGTCAGCATGTCAGTTTCCATCACGATTCATTTACTGAGGTAATTCTTGGTCACCTGGTTGCCCACTGTGAACTCAGATTGCCCGGGCACCGTTCGCGAGCAGTCTGATACCTTCGAAAAAGGTTTTTCTTGACCTTTTTTTCCTATGCGTTCCAACAAAGTGGTTCGATGGGAAATCAGCTGGAAAAAGAGAGAAATCCTGGAAACATTAGTAGTGGAAGAACATTGGACAAGATAAAAGCTACGCGATTAGCACAGCGTGGCTACCACTTCAGTGTCTCGATAGCTTGTTGCAAGGCTTCCATCATAAAGTTGTCTGTTTATGCCTCATTTACTATTAGTCTTGTTAATTCTAGTAGCCTGAATAATAAGTTATAGTTTAAGATGCACTTTCTCGTTCTACATCCTGTTTCGTTTAAGGCTTTTTCCGCGAGATATTAGTCAACTCGCGCAGGGACCTGCATCAAATGTTCCGCAGAACATACGGCATTTTCTACGACCAAAATTCAGATATTTTCGCCAGCCTCTTCGACCAGCTGTCCGGCTATTACACGAACGGCAACGTCGACCTAGAGAAGACGATGGACGCGTTCTACCAGACGCTGTATCGCCGCATGTTCCAGATCTTGAACCAGCCATACCATTTCGATTCCGACTACCTCGACTGCATCAGTAAACACATGGAGCCGCTGGAGCCATTCGGCGACGTGCCTAAGAAGATGAAGGAGCAGGTGCAAAAGGCGTTCCATGCCGCCAGATCGTTCGTCCACGGTCTGGCCGCTGGCCGCGATGCCATCGAAAAAATTATGGAGGTAAGTTTGAAATTTAACTAATTGAAATGAATCATAAAAGAACTCGACTTTTGAGCATATATACCAAAAATAAACCCGGAAAAACATAATAGACTTAATTGCACAAGTGCTAAACGAGTGCTATTTGCATAATTATCGCACTTCCGGAAGTGCAGGTAGTGCTAGTTAGATACAGTCGTGGAGAATAAGGGCAGAATCTGGGATTCAATGGATTTTCGGTGCACAGCTTTGTCCTGGCATAGATATAAACTTGTAGGGAACTAGTACAGCTATTTTGCCACTAAAACCAAAATGAAGCAAAATGAAAGTTGGTTACCGTTGAGACGTCGGTTTTCCCTTCATTTTAACGATGGAACCATTTTTGGCTCCCTTCTTTTCTTGAAGTTAACGGTGCGGTGCTGATCTCAGTTTCCATGCTATCAGCCGTGAGTGCCTTGTCGTTTAAAGGTAGCGTCGACAGCGACTATTTCGCAACCATAGCTCTTAGGGTCCTTTTCCTTTCTTACAGAGTGGTACTCATTTATCAACC